TGAAGTTTGCAATATTAAGCCAATTCTCCAGAGGTTGTTTATAATTTTTATTCCTCAAAAACAGAACTTAATGTCTTATGGGTTGAATCTTAAAATTATTCCAGGGTATTAATAAAGTGCTTTTGATTCGCAATTGAATAGTTAAATTCAGATTCAATTTAATTAGTATGAAATAGAGGCTGTTTTGTTTAAGCATCGATTATTATTATAGCATTAGTTATTGTTCCTTTGAAAAATTCAGTAATTAAATTAGATAGTAATTATTCGTGCTTGTCAATTTTGAACATTAAAGGCACGAATACCAAACCAATATAAGGGAATAAGTTAGCATAAAATTCTAATCTAATGCATAAGTAGAGATAGACTATAAAAAATATGCTGATTTGAATTGGGCTTCTTTATAAAACTGTTATAAGTACCAACAATCTTATGATGAAGAAGAGCATATATTCCTAATAATTATTATGGTAAATACTGGAGATTGTTATTGTTCCAAGAACTCAATTTGCAAAATTTAGCATAACATATATGAGATTATTAAGTAGCAATCTCTAATCAAGGCATTTAAACAGTTTTTCTTATGCAGAACTACAAATGCAATCATCAATATTAACTCTGCTATAAATGAAATGCCAAATCGCAAACAACAGGATTTCTAACAAACATTTACCACTCCAATCACCAGACAAACTAAGGCATCACAGATGCCATAATATAGTAATCGATTGTTCATATTAATTAAAATTTATAATATATCAAGAATTCTCTATTTCGAATAATAGCCATAAGATTATTTAAGCTATTTCCTGTTTGCATTGTTTCAAAGTTAAACGGTGATATTAAGTTTTAATATTGCTTATCGCCTTAACATATTAATCATTTAACTATTTGTTCTTTATTATTTTAGATAGATTGGATATGCATTATCGTAAATTATCCTTATTTAATTATTCTAACAAAAAAGGGATCATTAACTTTAATTTTAATTCTAATCTATTTATGAACTAAAAATTTATTAAATTAAATAATATACTAATTATTCCTTTTCGAACTCCTCCTCCATCTTTGTCAACTAAGAAATATATTGGTAATTCTCAATATCAAAGTAATCCACTTCTTCAAATTCCTCAAAACTGTTCTACACACTCTATGAATTGGACATCAAAATTCAAATTAATTTCAAAATATAATATAATAAATTCAAAATTGAATAAATTTGCTTCCTGATTTTTAGTAAGGACTCAAACTAGATTACTTAACTACAATTGGTGTCTGATAAACATTCACATTATAATAATGATCCATCGACATATCCTTCAAATACTTAACCCCATATTGCTATTTTGTCGTAATCTATTAAACCTTAGTCAAAATCACAGGAGAATAATGTTAAGCAGGTTGTTCCCTTTTTTATTAAAAATAATGACTGAAGTATTAATTTATTTATTGATTATTTCTTTGTTGATTTGGAGAACCTTCTTGTGTTGGATGACTCTTCTTCTAAGTATTATTATGACTACTCGAATGATGAGTCGAAACCTAAGTTAAATGCTTATTAGCTGGTTCTGGAATGTGAGTTAAATTCTTCTTTCTGTTTGTTTTCTTTTGCTTGTTTATTAGAGACTCCAAAACCTATTTAGTTTGACTCTTCTACTAATTCACTAATTAATTATTTAACTCCTATAATCTTTGTATTTCCTATTATAAGGCAGAGTTTTCATCTTATAAAGATCTCTTACTGTTTGGCTTTATTGCTTTGACTAATTAATTCTTATCGAAATCAAATTCAATTTCAATTTCCTGAGATCCTTGTTAGATGAAGTTATCTTTTAATTGAGAGTTGAGTTACTTTTCAAGATTCCAATAATTGCATTTCCAATCATCAAGTTCTGTCTCTAACTTATGAATATAATCTATTAGTTTGTTGATTCTTTGCACTATATAGGATTCACTAACATCAAATTATTCTATTATTGGAGATTCATCAAAATTCATCTTATTGAGAGCATTTAGAATTTCACAAAATTTAAAATTTTATGCAACAGACTAATTTAGACTTTTAATCTAAGGGCATTCACTTTCTTCTTAAATAATTTACAAGTCATCCATCCTTTCAATCTAACTATTTTCATTTGGCTATTCGATTAAATCCATCTAAGGGTCATCAAAAATTGAATTATCTAGATTGCTTTTTAATTAGGCTATTTCTCTATTGTGTTACTTTTCTTATTCTTAATATTTCTATTGCCATTCCAAGATTATTGCTTCTTATTACTCTATTGTCTCTAATGATTAAATGATTTTCTATTTCAAATTCTAAATAAATCTTATGATTCCTTACATCTATTTCTTAGATCTTGGTACACAAGTCCTTCCTCAATTGATCATTCTAATTATCAATCTATAATTAGCAATATAAATACACATGATTAGTTGATTTTTATGTGTGGCCTAAATTAGGAAATTCAAGGCTTTTTCTTTAGTTAGAAATTTGATTTATCGAGACTCTGACAGGTGAAGGAATCCAAGATTCTGATCTCAATCTTGCAGACTTATAAACAGTAGTAATTCTTCTTAGAGGATGAGAAAATGATCTTTTCATTACTATCATTTCTGTTAATTAAAAATTATATATGGATTTATCAGAATATTGTTAACTACAATGCCCTCCTTAAGATGTTACAATCTAATATGATTTTATTGCAATAATTTAGAATTATATTGATTGCATTCCACAAATATAGTGCATTTACATAAAAGTTATACAATAATTTCCATAAAACCAATAGAACATATTGATGAACTTAAAATATTCAAGATATTTCATTTAGAAGATTTATTATTATTATAGAATCGTTTGGTTATTAGTAGTTTCAATAATCTGACTATTTCTATTTTATTTAATTTTGAAGTGGAAAATCACAAATTATATTTAGAAAGTAAAATACTAAATGATATTTCATTATTTATTTTCAAAAATAAAATCAATACTCATTTCAACTTATTAATCTTCCATTGGAATATGGAATTATCTTCACCTCCAGTGCTAAAAAGATATTGGTCATCAACAGACCAAGCAATATTGGTAATATGTGATGAATGTCCTTTGCCAAGTACATAACCTGAAGCCTTTTTGACACATGGATATCTAATTAAATGAAATTAATTACCTAAAGATTTTGATCTAGGAATTATCATCTCCTGTTGCGATAAGATAATAATTATCAGGTGGTTTGTCAGATAAAGTATATGTTTGATTTGATCTAACAGCTGCATTTATATCAAAGGCATTTTAAATATCAGGCCATATTCCTTAGACAGGCCAACCAAATGGAGTTGTCCAAGTGAGCCATTTTTCATCTCTCAATTAATTGGCTCCATTTGGTAATAACTTCCCAGTTTACAATTCCCAAAAAAGCATTTCATACCCTCCACAATTGCTATGAAGATAATTATCATCAGAAGAGAAATCAATATGTGTTATGTAACTTGAATGCTTTTTTAAAGGGTTATATCTTTATTTCATATCAGGGAAACTGTAGACATAAATTGAGTTGTCATGTGACCCAATTGCTATCCAAGATTAATCCTTACTAAATTTTATGTCGCTGATCCATTCCTTAGCTATTCTACTGACATATTTTTGTCTTAATTCTTTATCGTAGATCTATAATATTTAAATTAAATTTACTCTAATAGTTCCATCTTTAAATCCAACCACAATTGAGATCCCATCTTATGAAACTGCTATGCATCTTCCTTTAATGTTATCAGGTAATTCACCGCCTTCCTCTTATCTGATTTCTACTCCATTTCCATCAAGATTTGTTTTAATCATATTTAGCATTTTCTTTTAACTTATTGACCAGGATCTTAGAGTAGCATCATCTCCACAAGTATAATATTAATCTGAATCTTAAGGATTTATGGCAAGTCCCCATATTTCATTAAAAGATCTTTTGTTTGGATAATAATGCGAATTCATTATAGTTTTAGAGACAGCGAACTTAGAATTACCATTAATTTTGGCATCCGTTGTAATTAGTTCTACTATATCACCAGAATTAGTAGAAATTAACAAGGTTTTGAGATCGCAACCCAATTAAATAGATTTTACTTCAAGCCCTAAAGAATTCTTAATGCATTCCGATAATTTAAATGATAGAATTTGTTAATATGACTTTGAATTTATAATAACTATTTTTGAATCATTTCCACCAATTAAAATGCTAAATATATATATTTATAATACAATTCTGTTGAAACATTAATAGCTTCTAAAGGATGATTTGCTTCTAGATATTAAAAATAACTTATCATTTTTCCAGCTTAGAACACTTAGAGTGATCCATCTATTGCACCTAATAAATAATCATCATTGTTGACTGCTGCACATAAATATTTAAAAGATTGAGGTGCCTAAGGTTATCCATTTAAACTAGTAATTCCTCCATGTCCAAGTTTCCAAAATTTAAGATGATTTAAACCACAAGTTACAAATTCATTGTCATTCTTCCATTTAATGTCTGTCACAGTATCCTTGCCAATTTAATCTTTGATCAACAAAGTTCCTCCTAATTATGAGGATTTAGCTGAGATTTCAAATATGCATAATTAATGACAATCATCCATTCCTACAGCCGCTAGTTTATCATTTGATACACTAAAGGCCAATTATGAAACTCCTTTGGTAAAACAGCCCTAGAAGGCTGCCAAGATAGCTAGACTATTAATATCCCAAACATATATAATAGGATTGGTTCCTAATTGACTAGTGGCTACTTTGAGTTGATCAGATGATACATCTAATGAAATCACATCATCGTTATGATAATTAAATATCTTCTATGTATTACTATTTGAATCACAATTAGGATCTAGCACGATAGCTACTGCTGCTGTGTTGTAGATAATTTAATTTCCTTTAACATATTTAACATTGTTTCTACAATCTTTAGATCTATAGCCATGAACATATTCTAAAGTCAATTCAATTAATGGCTATTTAGTTTGATTTAAAGGATCTTTAAAAAAATTAGATGGTTCCTTAACTACGCCCATCCAAGGTCGAATAGCAACAGAGTCATCTCCCTTTTCAATCTGATCAAACTATTGATCATCAGTATTTTCAGTATCAGTGACTCTTGCTTTTCCATATTTATCAGGTCCTATTCTCCTTATCTTCTCTTAAGGGAGTGTAAGAGAATCGAGCACAGTTTCATTTTTAATTACTTAATCTCCCTTAAACTAATCAGTTTTCCATATAAAGATACCTCTATCCATTCCACTAGTTGATATCAATTTTGTGTCATCATTTGAGAATCGAATTCTTGTAACAGCATTTGCATGTGCTCTGAATTATTTATGAAGTTAATTGAATGAACAAACTGCTGGATATTTATATAAATTAATTAATCCATTACATTCTCCTGTAGCTAGTATTGATTTTTGTTTATCAAGACAAACAGCAGTAACTTGATATTCATCCTTTTTTTGATAAATTCCTTAAACATAAAATCCAAACAAAGATGTGCAAGTGTGCCATTCTAAATCTTTAACCGATGTTCCTGGTATATCCTTTAAGGATTAAACATTAACAAATTTCAATTCATAACTACTTGAATTAATTAGTATATGTATTGAATCAACAGCCCAATCCAATTTAGACACATAACCAGTCATTGAAATATTGATTGAACTCTGCCTAGAAAACTTTCCTTATTCTATATCCCAAACTTCAATTTAGGAGTAGGAATCATGAACTCCAAATGCAATTTTTGTGCTGTCAGGTGAAAACTTAATGTCTTCAACCCAATTGGTTATTTGTTGTGAATTCTATTTCAATTATCCTGCTTTGGAATTCTTCTTATCTAAGACATCTAAATTCTTAGAATTCAATAAGAAAATACATCCTCTCACATCTCCAACTACAACATACTTATCATCGGCACTCCAATCACAAGCTCTGATATCATTTTCAAATGGTTGGGATGCCTTCACTAATGTATACTAATTAATATCCCATTATCTTAGTATACAGTCTCCTCCACATGTCACTATGGTTTGTGAAGTTTTGCTTACTCCGATTCCCCACACTTCTCCTCCATAATGTGTATCTAATAGTACTTTTAAATTCTAGATGTTCTTCAAGGGAGCATGTAAAATTTAAGACTAATTTGTTGCAATTAAGATATTCTCATTTTTAATGTCCATAGATATGATACCAGTTACTTTAGGTATGTGGAATACTTCATTTATATCAACCACAATGGCTATGTTATTAAGATTGTTCCCATTCATCTCCCAGAGTTTGATCTGTCCATCTAATCCACTACTGTATAATTGAGTCTTGCCAACTGGGATTAATGAACTGACTTTTGACTAGTGTCCCTGATAGGCTTTGAAATTCCTATTTTCTTTCCATAAAAATATATTCCCATTTTCAGAGCCTGTAATTTCGTATTGTTCTTTAAATGCAACACAACAACATAACATCGGTTCAAAATGACTAGTACTTAATATTCCAGGCGAACTTTTCACATTCCTACCATTCATACTATAAAATGTGACACTCTTCTATCCACAAGACATAAACTCAGTTGAGGATTTACTACATATTCCATATATTAGGGATCTAACAGTTTTGATAGTGATAATAAGTTATCCAATTTACCAATCGTGAATTGCAATAGAGTATTCTTATGAAAATGATAATAAGAACACTCCATTGCAATTGAATTCAATACAATGTATCATTTTTGTATGAAAATCATTTAATAAAGACAAAACTTTCTTTGTCTCTGCTTCCCACACATATATAGGTGTTAATTGATTCTCACTTAAGGCAAATGCTTTTGTTCCAGTGGCGATTATTCTGCCTTTGGGATGAATAGCTATGCATGTGATTTCATCTTAATGCAATTTAAAGAATGTCTGTGAACAATACTGTTATCCAACAGGTGCAATGGGATCCATAATAATTCCAACTGCACCACAGGTATAACCAATTTTGCCATTATCTAAGAATTTCACTCCATTACAGTAATCCTGACCTAGTTGATCAGTCTTCATTCCTAGTACATAATCGAGGACTAAAGTGGCCTAAGGTAGAACATTGTATTTTTAGTCATCACATTTAAAGTCAGTTGGTTGGGTAGATTTAACATAAGTTTGATATTATTTTTATCCTTCTTGTTAAATAATCTCATCATTCATAGTAATCTAACAGTATTCTTTGGGGATCTAATTATCTTGAATAGTGTCACAGGCTTAATCTTACTCTATCTAAGCATCTCTATCATTTGAGAACTTCCATTACATTATAGATTTGTCATTACCTCCCAAAGATACCACATATTCATCATCTGCTGAAAATCTAATATTTGTAACATGAGCTGCATGTCCTACAAATCTTTAGTATCCTTATTAAGGAATGGATGCAGGATATCTGAATAGTTTGATGCCTGAATAATCATCAGCTGAAATCACAATATCTCCTTTATTCGATCTATCAACAGCATTAATATCAGACCCCAATGATAATGCTGGCCATATTCCTTAGACATGCCATCCATAAATTGCTGTATATGTACTCCACTTTTCATCCTTATACTTATATGCTCCGTCTGGTTATATTTTCTAGTTGTTCTCTCCTCCCAATTCATAATATAACACTTGTTGACTCCGATCATTTATTTGTAATACACGACAAGTAGATGAAAAATCAATGCTGATTATTTTAGCAGGTGAACCACGCAACACATTTGTTTTTTTGAAGTGGTTTTTTAAGGAGTAAATAATTACATCACAGCTAGGTGCATCATGACCAACTGCCAATAATTCTGTGTCTGGCGAAAACTTTAAACAAGATACTTCTGCATCTCTATCTTTAAAATTGTATGCTACTGTCAATGTCTTTGGGTCTATTATTAGTACTGTTCCATTTACACTCCCCACTCCCAAATACTTACAGTCCTTGCTTATATGAATAGCACTGCTAGGATAATCCAGTCTTATGAAACTAGATATCTTTTTATCTTTTATTAACCAACAAGCAAGTATGTTGTCTTCACCTATTGTGTAAAACATCGGAAATCTTGGATGCATAACTAATCCTCTCAAAGTGCCTTAAGAATGTCCTCTCATAAGAACTTTACTTTTTTATCCTTATACCTCCACTATTTCAGAACCCCTTGTTCCAAAAATTAAATGACTTGCCTTCTCTGTATCATTCGGACCCAAGGTTACGCTTTAAACCTTGATGTTAAAGATCTTTAATTTTAAATTTTAGACATCTATCCTCTCTCTTGCCTTCATATTAACATCCCATACGACTATAGTACCATCCTTACTCCCAGACACAATTCCACCTTCCTGATTAGTCCTTGTGTGAATCGATAACACAGCACTTTTGTGGGCATCCACCGATGAAGTTGCTCTATTATTTTTCCAAATTATCAACTATCCTTTGTAAGTCCCAGTGATGACATTATTGTCACATAAACCAATACACAAAACAGTTGAAATCGGACATACTTTAGTATCCCATACTCCTTTATTCAATCTAATCTATCCCTAATCGTAATTACAAAAATAGACTTCATTCTTACAAGCCAAAATCAATTACTTATCTGCTTTATCAAATTTGATATCAAAAACAAAAGATCTAGGTCCCTTTCCAGATGCTAATAATGCTTAATTAGAATCTCCTTTAACTCTTAACTCCATACCTGTATCCACATCATATACAACTAATGTATGATCATCATCCATTCCAACTGCTGCCAACTTCTTCCCATCGTTTGAAAATGATAGACATTGCACACCTCTTCTCAAAACTCCCTTGAATGCTGCTTTGGAATGTTCTATCTTGTCTGCCACTTCCCACAGATATATGATAGGAAGTGCTCCCACTTAACCTGTAGCCACCATTCCATGATGAACATCTATAGATGTGATGTCATCTGTGTGCTCAAAGAAGAATTTCTAAGTGTTTGTTAAGGGATTGTAAACAATACCGACAGCAGCTGTATAGTAGACTAATTCTTGATTTACGAATTTGATATTGTTCCTGCTGTCAAAACATCTAAAACCATAAATATAATCTAATTCTAAGTTGGCATTTGGTGGATTGATGTCTGCTATGTTTGGTTTCCAATTAGAAGGTTGCCCATTTCTAACTTGATTTTTCCAAATTTCTTTGCTTTATAATTTATTTGTGTAATATTAATATCCAATTTGCTAATTTGTAAGGTCATCCTAATAAAGATTGCTTTCAATTCCAATTTTACGCTTTTCTCTTTTCTGATCGAAGACCAAGTGTTTCCTCTGAGTCTCCTACTCCAAATCTGAGTCTGGGTATGGAACATCTCCTTATTCGGATCCTCCAAAGTCTTACCTCAAATCTTCCAAGGAGCATAATCCATACGACAATAACATTTTAAGTACATCCTGATCTTTTGACAATAAACTAAGATACTATAGTAATATTACCTTTAAAATTCATTAAAGGAAATTGACTCGTCCTTGTTAGTATCGTATTTTCTTAATAAATCATCAGCTATCCTTTCAGCTTCCTATATAGTGCATTCTCCCTTCTGTGACATAGCTCCCAGGGCAGTTAGAGTAGTTTTAATGAGCATAATTAACTCATTACGAGTGATAGTTTTATTGTGATCAAAATCATAGAGTGAAAATATCACGTTTGCCTTTTCCTAAGAATAGATGTGATGCATTACTTTCAAGGTAGCTTAACTCAATAGACTTAGAGCACAGATAAATTCATTACTATCAATCCTACCATCATTACTAATATCAAAAAACTGAAAGACCTTATTTACTTCTGTTTCCTTCAATTTCATCAACTTAGCCAATCCATTTCTATCAATAGTTAGGTCTTCGTCTGCCATCATGTCGAACTTTTCTCTAATAGTAATTTGATATATATCATCTACTTTATCAATTTGACTTAACCAGGAGACAGGTACATAAATCTTTTCATGGATTCCAAGTCTAGGTGATTTCCATTAGAAATTTCATTACCCATCAGTTATAAAATTATAATAATAATATCAATTGAGGTTCTGTAACTTCTACTAAAGTACTAATTAATATTTATTTTGGTATTATTTCTTTGCCGAATCCAAAGTTCCTTGTTTTCTTTAGCTACTAAATTATGTGGGACTCTCCTCAATGGGCAATGTATTGAATTGATTCCGATATCTATACTTTAATTATGCTGTTCTAGTTTGATGCAATGCTTGCTGAATATTCAATTAAGCAGGCACCACACACTGACTAGCCTTACGAGAATTCGAGAGAGAACGACTCAAAAGTTTTGGAGGGGATTTTGCTGAATTTTGTGTTGTATTCTATGTAGTATTATTTGTTGTATTTGTAGATGCCGTCATCCCGACATTACCATTGCTCAGATCAGGTTTCAGTCGACTCTTAATCACTTTCACCTTCTCCTTACTCAACTTAGCTTGTTGACTTAATATATGATTCATTAGGAACTCCACTCTTTGTTTTATTTCCAAAGGCTATTATTATTATGATTTAGTTGGTTTTAAAAATAACCTACTTGGAGATCTTCCTGTGTCATCTTGGTCTTCAACTTATGTCAAAAGATGTCTATAATATTATATTCTATCTATAATACTTTTTGCTTGTTTTGTTAGATGGTATTGTTTTCTATTGAGTGTTAGCATGTTTAATTGCAGATCCTGGACCTTCAGGCACTTTAATTACTATCACTACTTTATTAGCTAATGTAGCCCTGTTATTGAATTGGTGTGGTCGCAATAACTTAGTTAAATGTGTGATTTCTTGATCCTCAGGTATCATTTGCTTGTCTACACCATAGAGTTTCTTGTAAACCTGGTAAATTTAATTAAAAATCTATGACATATGAGGAACATAAGTGTAATAGATTTCGAGACTCTTACATAGCCAGATTTCAAGATTGGATCGATTATCAAAATTAGAGTTAATGAATCTCAATTCAGTGGATATACTATAGAAACTTAATCCAGCCAACATAATCAATTCTAGTATGACTTCTTCTGTAACTACCATTTCAGGATTGCTAATAGGATACAATTCTTCTATGTCCACTTGTGTCATTTACATCAAACCTAGGATCTGCATCTGTAACATGGGATGATTATCATTAAGATTGGGATACAACTTATTATTATGATTGCCAGTATTTCCAATAGAGATCTATTCGCTGTACTTATCTAAGGATTGACTTCTACTATGATAACTTCTGATGATTTGAGTGTTCCTATCTTCGAATTAGGATTGGGGCATTGAACATTTGATGAGTGCCAATATTTCCTTGAATACCATTTCGACAATCTAACTATAGGATAACTTTTAGGGTTGCTAAGATGTCAGGGTGGCTAGATTCATTTCTGAATTGGCTCTTTATTTCTTATTTATTAAATTAGTTAGATTCATCTATTAACATAATTTGATGGTTGTTTCAAAGATGACTTTCAATTATTTTAATGCACTTTTAGCCAATTCCAATGCCTGTTTGTTTCTAGTATAGTGGATTGATAGTATTACCTTCTGCTTTCTGAAAATAATAAAGTACATTAAAAGATGATACGCAATCTCATTAGTTTGTTTTATACAATTCTAGCTAACAATTGGATATCCAGAGGCTGCTTTTTCAATTGTTTCCCTTTGATTTTGAGAATCTAATCGCTATCCAGTAATAAATTGATGACTTCCTCTGACAAACCATACTTCCTCAAAGCCAATGCATAATTGATCTTATGAAATAAAACTGTTGTGTATTGGACTTGTATCCTATAAAATATTGGTTGCTAACGTACTGATTCTAAGTGAAGTAATCCAACAATTACTAAGCCCTTACATGGTACTCTAATTGTTCGTTCTCAGGGATTTCTGACATTGCTATTCTTGTCAACTCATTCATCACTTGATCACCACTTTCTGGCTTCAGATAAATTGTCTCTTATGATTCTTCTTTCTAAGGTTGTTAGCCACCAATTATTACTTGAATCATGAAATTCTCCTTAGAACTAAAGTTTTCGCGAATAAACACAATCTTCCTCTATAATAACTATTGCACAATAAACTAAGGTGATCTCTCAATCAGTCGCTGTTGTTTCTTGAATGCCTCAAATTTTAGCATTTTATTTATTAAAACAAAATTGATCTCAATTCACCCAGATAGTATAATCTTTATCATTCCTCAAATCAATGCCTATAACTGCAGGGTTCTCCAATCTAAACTAATAATTCTATCTCTCCTGACAATCTATTTGCTAATTCATCAAAAATGTATAATAGATATTAATCAGACTTAGAATCGATATTACTATGGATGAAAATGGTAGATCAGCTTTAATTGATGATACTTAGAAGAAATGATTAATTGTGTAAAAGTTTTGTCTTTCAGATTATGACATATTATTATACATAAAAAATACTTTCAGGAAGATATTATTTGATTTTGAAGGATTCAAACATCTATATCCTATGTTATTGAGATTAATTATTATGATATTGTCAATTCTTAAATAATACTAAATATTATTAAATTCTAAGAACCAAATCCATAGTTAAAGTAGATTAAAACATTTATTAGTTTTATTTCTATCTTCTACTGTTGTTAGGATTGTATAATTATTAACAGAAATTACCAATCAATTAATTTAGTTCTAAAAAATAGTAAACTAAAACAAATTGTTCCTGAATATTTTTTATATTAATTATGATTAATTTTGGTGATTAAGTGGGACATAAATTATTTTGTTACGATTCTGTTGTCTACACTTATTCTGGGGAAGATTTGTTAATTTTAGAAAAGGACACTATGAAATTGAATAGCAGAATCAATGTAGGCGCATAAATTTAAACATTTGCTGTTAATGGAGATATATTTGTATTGACTTGCAATTCCCAATTTCTGGTGTATTCTGTAGATGGGAAATAATTACAAAGTAAACACCATAAAGGAAAGGTATTCCAACATGTCTGTTTTCATAATGACCATTTTATTGCACATGATGGAAATAATATTGTTAGAGTAGGAACCACTTGTTCTAAAATATATGATACATAATCATTTACTAAAATAAATTACATTCAATATTCAGGATACAAGGAACAACTAATTATTGCAGATGATAAATAAATTCATGTCATTGGCAATGAAGACAAGATCCTTAGAGAATTCGGACTTGCAGTAACTATTATGCAATTAGATGATGATCAAGATCTCTTGGCTTGTGGATTGAGCAATGGTTAATTAATCTTATTATAATTTTCGACTGGTATCATTGTGTAATAAGACCATTGGCATGCTCATTAAATTAATGCATTGTTATTTGCAGGAGCATCACTCTATTCTGCTGGTTAGGAAGGTGTCATAGTATAATGGCATTTGAGAGTTGCAAGAAAGGCCTTCTTTCCAAGATAAGGAGGAGAAATTGTAGCTATGTGTAGTAATGATGATAATCTCATTATTAATATAAAAGGAATCAATCAAATTAAATAGATTTCCTTGATGGGCTAGAATAAATTACCCTATTTTCAAGGAATTCATCATGTTTATCCTAATAGTTTCATCACTTATTAGAATAAATTAATCACATAAGGAGCAAATGGAACCTTATAAGTTATTCATCCTAATCAAGGAACACTATTACACATAATTCCTATATAACAACGAAATTATGTGTCTGATATTGAAGATTCATACAAAAGAGATAGAACCACAATTAATAAAGTATTTTTATTATATAAATTATAGTTTGCCATGTTGGATAGATTTTTGATTGTTGTTTTGAGTTCTGAACTTAAGTAGACACGGTTGTCGTATCGTCTAGGATAGTGAATTAGGTTTTGAATTTAATCTTGTAACAACTACTGATTATGAGATTGAAGGAATGGATACAGGAC